AAGTAGATCCGCGCTACTGCACTTAGGTCCACATTATTCCTGCCTCGCGGTGCAGCGGAGCGGCCGCGCGGGAGGCTGCGCCGGGCTGCGCCGGGCTGCCCAATGGACCGCGGGCGGGGCGGGGCGGGGCAGCAGGACCGTTAGCTTAGGACGGCCGCCTTTTGTCTCGAGTCTTCAATCGTCTCCTCGGGAATGGGGAATGTCACACGGACGCGCCCGTCTTCCTGGCTGTCTGTCCTGTCCGCGGGGCGGGGCGGGGCTCGGGGCCTTCCTCTTGGACTGGACAGTCACGCCGCGAGCAGCCCCGGTGCAGTCGGACGCGTGACTGAAGGCGGTAAATGCTGATGATGCCTCGTGTCCGGGGCTCATCCCCTGCACTGGCGACTGGCAGGCTCGCATATCGGGGCTGAGCGCTGAGCGAATGTGAGGGTGTTGGTGGGGGGATGCAGGCGTCCCACGGTGAGGTGAGGGGGACGCCGCGCTAAGCCTCGTCATGCGGGGACCAGCGGGCACCAGCGGGGACGCACGCCCACGCGCGTGCGGCGGCGTCCTCTTGAGGGCGGCTCGTCGCAAAGCTGACAGCGAGCAGGAGGTTGGGTTTACCTCACCGAGGTAATCTGCATCGTGACCGTCTCTGTAACGCCGTCGTACGCTATCGCGCGTCGCCTCGTACCGGGGGAAGGGGGGGGGGGCTTGGCGCGGGCGGCGGCCGCAAGGGATCGTGGGACAGGAGGCGACGTGACAGCGAGGGGGTGCCCACCACGCCGTGCCCGCCCGGGCCGCGGGCCGCGCCGGGCTGGGCCGCGCCTCGCAGCCGTGCCCTGCTTTGAAGCGCGCCTTTCTGCGCGTCGCTTCGCGTTGCTTCGCGGTACTCGGGACGTGAGTTATGGTCGCCTGACCTATATCAGCGGCGTGACGAGCGGAGCCGCGCTGATCCGAGCCGGGGCGGGGTGGGGCGGCGGCGGGTCGTCTGCCAGGCGGCGGCGCGGCGCTCCCTTCGCACTGTTCTGCCGACGCGGCCGCGTCGACGTCCACGTCCTGCCTGAGCCAGCCCGAAGTGTAATCCGGCGGAGCGGATAGCAGCAGAGCGGCCGCTGCAGACAGTCGTGGGGCGGCCCCGGATAGGGCTGCAGCGGGCCGCAGTCGTTGTATTTTATCGCGGGGCAGCTGTCTTAAAATTGCGTCATGACGAATAATAATAAAAATCCGAGTGGATGCGCCGTGCGGCTCTGCCTCTCGGAGCTTCCGTCATGTCAAACAAGTGCGAGAGCAGCAGGGCGCGCGCCAGCCCGCGAGGATGTACACAGCGTGCGGAATCGAGTACAAACTGCTGGGAATTACGCGGAACGGGGGCAGGTGCGTTGCGCATGAGATACGAAGAGTATGTCACACATTGTTATTCATTTGCCTGTAATTGGTTTTAAATTAACTATCTGCACATGCGCTGCTGATGTGTAATCATCTAAACAGAGGTGGCCACACAGGAACGTAGGAACATAGGTCAGTCCGTCCACCCGGTGGTGTCCGGGAGCTCCCATTGCACAATGTGGATGGGCCGGCGCCACTTTCTTGCTGTTTAGTCATTCATACCGACTTTCCATGGCGGAAGGCCAGTGACACCAGCAGACGGCAAACGTTCCCATAATCCACCTCAAGGCGAAGCGCAGAGTGCGAGGACAATCGCGCGCTGGGAGAGGACTAGGGGGAGGGGGCACGCAGGCCAGCGCCGCGGCGTCCCTTACCTCATTTCCATCAAAAGTCTGATTTGATGAGAAATTTCGCGTTTCTCTTAGGCGAACTTGATGAAGCTTTCGGTGGAGGAGGAGGGTAGGAGTGGAGGCCGGGCCGACCGGGCCCGACCACATGCAGCGCACCGCAGCGTCACAGCTGATTGGGCGGCTTGCTTACAATTAGCAACCCGTTGCGCATGCTGCAGCCGGGAGGCGGCGGCGCGCGCGCAAAACATTTCGCGGGGATCGCAAATTAGTAATTCAAGAAGCTGCTGTTGTTGTAGTCCCGGGACATAACGGAATCCAATAATACTGCGACTGGTTGCTTTGATGTGCATGCAGCCCCCCCCCCCTTCCTTCCCAATTCATTCATCCCCTCTGAACGGGACGCGCTTCCCCGGCGGGCTGGAGCGGACGGCCACAGGTGCTGGTGCTGCAGTGGTCGTTCATCTCAAGTCGACCGAAGCGTCCCCCCCCTCCTCCTCTCCTTATCTCTCTCAAAGGAAGATTCACGGTGGCCGAACTTGTTCATTCTCACGCCCCACTCCCCACTCGGCCCGCCCCAGCCCCACTCCGCCCCACCTGCCTCGGTCACCGCGCCGATAGCGGCGGCCGCAGCAGCAGCAGCCTCAGCAGGAGGAGGAGGCTGCTGCATAGCGTGCCGAGCGTGCCGCCGTCCAGTAAGCGTGACTCGACCCTGGTGGCCGGGGCCGGCCGGGCAGTCCACTGCCGCTGCAGCACGCTGCAGTCTGCAAGGGTGTTCGCAAACGCCAGCCTGCTTTGCTGCAGTGCAGTTTTCAACGGGCGCAAATCTTTCCACAGCCACTTGCACATTTTGCTTCGCTTCATGGCCAGAACTTTCCGTCTCCACGTGTTGTCGCACCCCAACAATTGAGACGCGTTCGCAGAAGAAACAAATGGTGAATGTCTTCAGATCACCAAATAAAAGCATGGCTACAAGCGAAAAAGAAATGAAGGAGGAGGCCCGATCTTTTGGTTGAAACCGAAGCCAATGAGCAGCACGGCGGCAGATTGCTCCCTTCTGTTCTCTCCTGCCGCGCCCTGCTGGCCCTGCTTGCCCTGCTGGCCGTGCTGGCCGTGCTGGCCCTGTTGTGGGGCAGCTAATTGAATCAAGTGGTCAATCAACGCCTCTCGCTGTGGTCGGCGCCGCTCGGGGCGGTGGGGCTTGGCGGCGACGGGGCGCGGCGCGGGGCCCACCCCGGGCCGAGCAGAGCCACTGCCCTCCCACCTCCACCTCCCACGCGGTGTGTGCTGAGAATCGGGACGGGTAAGTCGGCAGCGGGGCTTCACGGGTGCCATCGGCGACGATGGAAGGAAGGCGCCTCCTCGCCTCGATATCAGACACGCAAATGCACAATTACTTGGAGGGGAAAAATGTTGCGTTTTCTTCAAGGGAGGGCAATGAAAGGGAGTATACCTTAGTTAGACGCCTTCCGGTTTCTAAAGCCCATAAATTTATTTGGTTGAATTTTCTCAAATATTTAATTGGTATACTTACTGAGATTGCCGCTGATTGCCTAATAACCTTGAAGAATGTGAGCCATATATCTCCACCGTCGCTGTGGTCGCTCCTGCTGCTTTGCTGTTGTCGTTGTTTTTGCTGTTGTTTGTTGTTTTTGTTGTTGTTTCTGTTCCACAACTTTGGCGCCTTCCCGATCTCGTTCCTCCTGCCTGCGCTCCCGGAGCCCATACGGGTAATGTGCAGGCCTGCAGGCCGTGGGAAAGGAATAGCGGATCGCCTGAATACTTCTCATTATGACAAGGCACTGTGGTACACTCTCCTCCCCAAAAGAAAAGAGTTGTAGAGTTGATCGACATTTAATGCGGGAATTATTTTCCGTCTCGAGATCATGATGTGTTCGGTGACTTCAACGCAGGCGGCAGCTGACAATAATGAGGGATTGAGGCTCGGTTTTCGGTCCGGCTGCCCGGGGGGAAGGGGTGGGGAATCTGTAAGTTGTCCATAGAGGTGTTCGTACAGTAAATTGCCCACATCCTCAGGAGAATTCGTAGGACGAATGGAAAATAGAGGAGGGGGGGGATATAAGTGCGCCTGTGGGGACTTTACACGCCGCGCGGTGTAAAAACACAGGACAGGGGAGCACGCGATGCATTACAACTTCCCGACGGTTTACGGCGCCGTTGTTGTCGGCAGCGTCAGCGGCATTGCTCCATTCGCCAACAAGCGGCGCAATAAGCCATAGCAATGGTACAGTTTTGTTGAAGCGTCCGAGCGGCGCCGCTCCGTCTTGTAATTTATATATCGTTGTTCGCGATATTGGTGGGTGTGCGTCCGCTGCTTGAAATCTCCCATGCGCGGCCCGTGAGATTAGAACATTCGCACGCCGGTCTCCGCACGACGGGCGCAAGCGGCGCGGAGCAGCGGCAGCAGCAGCGGCAGCAGCAGCCCCTGGGCGGGCGGCATTGTTTCTGGCCGCACGTGTGGGCTGCCCCCCGCCCCTCGGGGCCGCGCAGCAGCGCCCGAGCCGCGAAACGGAGAAGAAAATATCGGAACAACGTGTAAAGGTCTCCACTTCCGAGTCCCACGGCAGCGAACCTCTACGGTCCCTGCTGCCGTGAAATGGCTTCGCGGATATTCGGCAACAGAGCGGCGCGAATGGCGACGGGTCGGGTGGGTGGTGGTGGTGGGGTGAGGCCGCCCGTGGGATAGGCAGCCGCGCTGCAGCTCGGGCGTGCGGCCGCGGCGGGTGGCCTACCCCAGCCTGGCAGGCGCTCAGAGTGGGTCGCGCTCGCCTGGAGATGCATGCTGGCTGACTGGTGACTGCCGGTGGCAGACGGTAGCGCGGCTCGCACCGCTGGTTCTACTACCCGTGGCCCCGGCCGCGGCCCCAGCTCGCCTGGAGATGCATGCTGGCTGGTGACTGCCGGTGGCAGACGGTAGCGCGGCCCGCACCGCCCGTTCTACTACCCGTGGCCCCGGCCGCGGCCCCAGCTCGCTCCGCGACGCTTTTTGTGTCCGCGCCACGCCGTCGCGCCGCGAGCCAATCCCTCCGCCACCGCGGCGAACGGCCAGAGTTCATTACCACTCGCCGTCCACGTGGTACAGTCTCGTCCAAGAGCTCACGGTGCTCAGCGTGGCGTGGCGCCGCGTGGCTGCGGGCCTGCGTCACACGACTGTGCCGTACCCGAGGTTGTACTGCACCGCAGGCCACGTGCCCCCCCCCCCCCCGGACAACGCCAAACAGCGCGAAAAGAAAACTCACATTATGTTTGCAATCCTTGTTCCAGGTGGGTGCCTTGCACTCGCGGCGCTGGTGATGCAGTGCCTTCTCCTGCAGCACGTTTCGGCCCACCCGCACCCGCCGACAGCCGCGACCCCGACGCACGCAGAGACAGCCGCCACCACCTCCAGCTCCAGCCAGGACGCCGTCGCGGAGGAGGCGGGCAGGGTGCTGGGATCGAGGTAATCGAAGAAGCGGGTCATGTCATGGGGGCGGAACGGGCGGCGGGGAAGGGGAGGGGGGAATGAATGATACATGTCGAAGCAGTCAGAGGACGTGGGCGGGCGCAAGCAGCCGGCACACACAGATCAGCCGGGCGGCGGGACGGGCGGGACGCAGTAGGGCGAGGCGGGGCGGGGCGGGGCAGGTCGATCGCGAAAGACATTGAGAGCAAGGCGGAAGGGGGCCGACGGCCGGGACAACAAGGAGGCCATGACTCTATAGACAAGAGGGCGGCGCTGGCGGAGCGGGAAGAGGAGCGGCACACGTAAGATACGGACTGCACTGCACTGCATGGAGGGGGGGGGGGTAACGTAACAAATACTGAAAACAACACAAATAGAGGAGGGGGGAGATATAGGGAAAGGTGTCGGGAGCGGAGATGAGGGGGAAAGAGAGGTAAACGGAGTATAATGGAAGGAAGTGAGAGGAGCGAGCGAAGCGGGTGACAGAGAGAAAGGAGAGGGGGGCAGATTTATCACCAATCTATCCTGCCTTTTCAGCGTCGTGACCTCCGTGTCGGTTATCGCGGACGGCGAAGGCGTCGGTGGCGTTAGCAACGGCACCTCCACCAGAACTTACAACCCAGAGCCGCCGGCCAGATCGCAGCAGGGCACCAAGAGGAAGCCGCAGCCGCAGGCCGCACAGGGGACCGTGGCGGCCCCCGCGGCGCGCCCCGCGACGGTCGCCAGCCCGGCCGGTCTCATGTCTCCGGACAGGTGAGCGTCTTGACGAGCCAATGACTGTGTTCTTTTACTCTACTTACGTTTTGTTTGCGTAATTTCTACTGATTAAATTAACCCCTTCTGTAGGTACGAGTTCTACACGTTTGATGAGACGGGCGATCTGGTGCGACGGCACATGACGCTTGACGAGATCAAGAGCCTGCTGGCCGGCGGCGACGGGGACATGGGCGACACCCCCATCGCCACCTTCTACCACGGTCCCGTGCCCGCCCCGCCACGGGCTCCCACCCGCGCGCCCGCGCACCACCACGCGCAGGGCATGCTCGCTGGCCTCGAGGACCCGGAGGACGCCTTGGAGGACGCGGTGAAGGGCGTGCAGGACGTGGTGAACAACGTGCAGAACGTGCTCAAGAGCCAGCTAGCCGCCAGCAAGAACAAGCTACCCGCGTACATCCGGCCGCCTCCCGCCCATGGCGCGCCCAACCCCGCCGAGGCCGCGGCGACCTGGGCGATGATCCTGCCCGGCATCATGGACGGTGGCCTCCCCCCGAAGCCGCCCACCCCCGTGCCGACGTTCCCGACTCCAGCCAGCCCACAGCGCCCGACCACCATCAAGACTCACGGCAAGAAGCCCCTTACCAGCCAGAGCTCCACCACGGCAAAGAAGCCCTTGAACAAGAAGACCACCACCACGACGGCGGTGCCGGCGGCTTCCAAGGAGGAGCCGCCCGTCAGGTTCACCCTGGCTCCGACGACGGAGCAGGATATTGTGGACACCCTGTACACGCTGGTGAGCTCGTCGCCCGGCCTGAAGCACACCGCGTCCAACAACGCCAGCGACCTGCCACCGCTCAGGCCGCGGCCCTCGCAGCCCCCTCCGCGGCCCGCTACACCGCGCCCCCAGCGGCCGGCCACCCCGCAGCGGCCTGCAATCACTGCTCCGCACCGAGTGGCTGCCAAGCCCCACCCGGCCAAGCCCGTCATCACCAAGCCCGCCCCGAGCAAGACGGCCTCGAGCAAGCCCGGTGCCAGGCCTGTTCCCAAGCCCGTGACCAAACCCTTCAGGCCGGCCGAACAAGTCCAGCAGCGGCGCCCCATCCCCCAGCAGGATCACGCCGAGTCCATGGTGCAGATCGTGACTGTGCCGCGCCCCGTCACGACCACCACAATGGCGCCCTTCGTCACCTTCATCCCGACCGAGCTGTCCGAGACCTCCGTGACCACTGCGTCTCCCTCTTCGTCCCCGACGTCGCCCCTCACTTCGCCCACAACCTCACCACCGCCCTCGCCGGTCACCTCACAATTAACAACTTTTGCGACCCGGAGGCCACCGGCCATCAGCTACACGTACCGGGGCACCACGACGACCTCGACGGAGACTCCGACTTTCACCGAGACCGTGTCTTCGGCGGACCTGGATATGGACAGCCGCACCACAGCCGAGGAGGAGGACGCCGAATCGACAGTGACTACCACAACGCCCGCCAGGACATCGCCCGCCGGTACGTCACCCACCCTCACCCCAACGACAGGGTCGTCCACGAGCAGAGCTACAGAACCGCCGACCACGAGTCTTCCAACAACAACGTCCCCGACGATATGGACCACGAACCCTCCAACCACGACTTTTACGCCAGTCAGGGCGGTGACACGGGATCCCCCGAACAGGATAACGACACAGTTCGCCACTACACTACTGCCCGCCGAAGATGAAACTACAGCGACCTCAGAACAGGCCACGGACGCCACCCCGGTTCCGGCACCAGTCACGACTGTGCCTGTTGACTCCAAGCCCCCCGTGCGTTACACGGAGATCCTCACGCGGGTGCCAGCGTCCGCGCTCGTCACAAAGGCCGTGCCCGAGGACGACGCTGAACAGACGTCTACAATCATAAGCACGCTGCCGACGACCGAGCGCGACGAGGTGAACGCTTTGACCACTGCATTCAGCAAGGCATCCGACGACACCACTGAGGTCGCCGAGGATGAGGATAGTGACAGTGCGGAGCAGGTGTCGGAGGAGAGTATCGATGACAGCGCAGAAACAGAGGGCACCACCAAGTTGTACCTCAAGATCTCTAGTTCCGAGAACAACGGTTTCCTGTTCTCGTCGTCTACGACGGAGGCCTCTGCGGCGGATATGGTGACGCCAACGATGGAGGTGGAGACAAAGCCCACTGCCGTAACCTCGTCGGAAACCTTCGTGACAGACCAATCCGCTGCCAGCACAGAGCATCGCGGCACCACGGCCTCGTTGCCTGCTTCCAGCGAAGAGGCCGAGTCGAGGACCGAGTCCGACTTGGAAACGACTGTAGACGAAGAGACAAGTGCGTTACTGACAACGAAGACGCCATTAACCACCGAAACGGAAGCGTACACCACGAACCAGCCAACGTCCACGGCAGTTCCGACGACAACATCCACTGCAGCTCCCACGACAACATCCACGGCCGTACCAACTACAACATCTGCGGCACTCACCTCACAATCTACAGCAGGACCAACTTCCACATCAACAAAGGCTGCTTCGCAGTCCCCGACCCAATACTCAGCAGCGTCAACAACCCGAACGACAACATTGACCACCCGCACGACCCCGTTGACCACCCCCTCCGAGCTCAGCTTGGAGAGTAGCAACATCCTGACCAGCCAGGTGGACGCCCCCCAGACATCCCAGGCCTCCGGCCTCAAGATGGTCCCAACCCCTGCGACTTCAGTCCCTACATCGCTGTCCGTGGAAGTGGACTTGAACAAGGTGGATAAGCTAGACAACAAGGTGGACATTGTCGAGGCCAGCAGCCCCGCCTCGCAGCCCCAGCCGCTGTGGACCCGCGTGCCGGTTGTTTCCTCGGCCGAGGACGAGGACGGCGTGAAGCCCGTGGACGGCGTGGAGGAGGCCGTCAAAGTGTACCACTCGCCGCAGCCATCCGCCGTGGACCTGCAGGCCGCACCGCAGGAGCACCTGGGCCTGGAGGCCGCGACGGCCACCCTGGACCCCGACGTGAGGAGCTTTGTCAACCTGTGCAACGAGCTGGCGTTCCAAATGTGGATGGCCGTCAAGGAGCGCTCCGCAAGGTGAGTAATAAGTTAGACCTGGAGACAACCCCCCCCCCCTCCTCTCCGGTTAGCCCTAACGACCGTTTCCACTTCCCCAGCACCACGTCCCGTAGCATCGTTATGTCGCCGTTCGCGGCCACCTCCACACTGGCCATGGTGTTCCTGGGCGCGCGTGGACCCACCTCCGGGCAGATGAATGACGTCCTCCGACTCGATGATATGGTATCGTTCAACCCGCACCAGGTCATGTGGAACGTGACTGAAGCCCTTGTACGGCCCAAGACCAAGAACACGGGTGTGGCTACAGCCGCGCTCGTTCGCGAGCTTTACAGCGACAAGGTGCGCGACCGTTTACATCACTCCATCGCTCAAAGCCGAAATCCGTAACCTCACATCGTCGGCCTTTTCTCTCTCAGAACAAAGGCAAGCTGCTCGACTTCTACAAGGAGCGCGCCCAGCAGTTCTACGAGGGCCACGTCGAGGAGATCACGTTCCGGAACAGCGGCGACCTGGTGCGCCGCAAGACCAACCTGCTCGTGAAGCGGCAGACCCGCGGCCGCGTGCAGGAGTACATGCGCGGCGCGAGCCTCGCTCTGCGGGGACCTCTCGCCGCCTTCGGAGCCAACATATTCGAGGTGAGTCGTCCGCGGCGTGACTGCGGCGAGACCTAGGCCGGGAAAGGCGAGATTGGCCACCCAAGCGAACGTGTTAAACTCCTGCCTTTCTCAGCTGCTAATTTCGGCCGATTATACACTTGTTAATCGTCGGTGCGCAGCCAGCCGCTGGAAATATAATGCGCATAACTGTCACTGTCACCGGGCCGGGGATGTGGAGGGGAAAAGAGGGGGGGGGGGGTTCCGCGTGGAGAGAGGAGCGGAGCAGAGCGGAGTGTCACGTTGTGCTCGTCCTCGCCGTTCTTGTTGTTGTGGGTCGCAAGCGAGTCCTCTTCGATCCAGTTACCTAATGCCCCTCTCCAGCCTCCCTGTGCAAGCAAGAGATCATCTGGCGGCGCGCGCGTCCCCGAGCGAGAAAGGTTAATTACTGGGTGGACACGGACACGGCCTCGGCGGGGCCGCCGGCAGCACACGACGCGACCCGGACCCCCCTCAGGTCCTCAGGTGACCCCTTTACCGCTCACCGCTCCCCTGGATGACCTGACATGGCACCGGCTGTAGTCGTTGTTCAGGTTCTAAGGGTCTTCTGCGTGCACCAGACCTTATTCCGCTCAAAGATTGAAAACATCGAGTTTTTGTCTTCGTGGCGTGGACTTTCCTTCTGGCCTTGCGCGATGGGACCAGTCCAAGATGATGACTTGCTGGAGTTCCTTCATACTTCGTGCATATAGATTCGCTGCAGGTGACTGCTGAGCCCTCCTTGCGATGGGGAGGGAGGACCTTTAGTTTTGGGCCGGGTGGTAGCCGCCGCGGCCGCAGCGCAGGCTCCGCGCTCCGCGGTACTGTTAGAGCAGCGCGCTGCACGGGGCGAGGAGGGGGG